ATACATATTTTCCAGCTGTGGTCCGCCTGTGGACTTCAAAAGTTGGAGGCCCAGGAAATGGAAAGTCTACACCCTAGTGCCCCTTGGAAAAAGAAGTTGTGGTCCTTGAAAAAAAACGAGCCATGCCAGGGGCAAATCGAAATTTAGGATTCTCCTTGAAAATATTTGTCGCACTCTACTGGTGGCAGCATGATTATGGGATGTTTGCTCCCATTAAAACAACGGGCATTGAACCTAACCATAGCAGGTGGCAAGGTTCGCTCCCCAATTTCAAACTTGTGGAGCGCTGCGGAATTTTGCACCGTCATTTGAGGACGGTGCAAGGTGGAGATACGCTGAATTTTCGCACCGTCATGCAAGGATGTGACGTTGCTGTGGTGCGCATAAATGTTCAAAGGGACTCAGACAATTGTGAACGGGCGGGTGCGGGTGGAAAATAATTACGTACCGGGTGCGGGCGGGTTATCTTGTTCTCGTGGTTGTGGGTGGGTCGGCGTGAAGGTTTTCGACGGGCGGGTTGGGTGTGGGAGGAAGTTTTCCAAAAAACACTTGGGTGGGCTGGGTCACCTTGATATATTTTTTTTAATTCTTTTTTTGAGGGCGGACTGTACTCTAAAAAAATTGGGCGGGTTGGGTGGAGTGCCAATTCAAAAAAGAAATGCTCATCTCTGCCCTCCTTGTCCCCCTTAATCTCTCCCTCTTTGTTCCTGTATTGATCCCCCTTGTCTCTCTCTCCCTCTTGCTTTTGACCTCTTCTTGCCCTCCTTCCTCCCCCATCTTTCTCCTCTCTTCCTTCTCCCCTCCCTCCCACTCTCTTCCCACTCCCCCCCCTCTCTGTTCGCCCCCCTCTCTATCACTCCACTTTTTACGCAACACATTCAAAACGAAGTTCGCAGAGCCAGCTGATTATCGTGCTGCAGTCATCCGCAGCAATGTGTACTGTTTGTGTGATATTCGTTTTTGATGAGGAGGTCCACATCAACTTTTCCTTGTCAGTTTATTGCTCGGTTTGTTGTTCGGTTTGTGTATTGCTGTCTTTTTTGGTTGTGCCTGCCTGTTCTCATTTTCTGTGTCTCTGGGTTTGCCTGTTTGCTTGTATTGGTATTGTCTGTCACCTCCTTTGCGTTGCAGTGGTGGAGAGTGTGATTGAGAAGAGGAATGCAAGGAGAGAGAGGCGTGCACGGAAGGAGGCTGAGCGAGCAGGTTTGGAGGTCGAGGTTACACATACAGGACAGCAGGACACAAAACCCTTCCAGACGCGTCTGTTTCAGAAGATTGTTCCCCCTGAGATGAATAACTGGCCCGAGACATTGCTGTCCTTTCCAGGTAGCTGACTTGCTATTCTCTCTCTCTCTCTCTCTCTCTCTCTCTCTCTCTCTCTCTCTCTCTCTCTCTCTCCCTCTCTCTGT